TGTAAGGATTAACCCGTCATATTTTATAATAACAAAATATAATTTTTTTTTGTTAACGGGTTAACCAGTCTTATTTTAAAATAAATACTCATATTATTAACTGTCTTTTAAAATATAATTTTTTTTAATATATACATATATATGTATATGAAACGAATATTTTGACCTAATAATTGTGTATGTTGGAGCAAGTAGTTTGGAACCCTATAAGTTGGGACATAGATATAGGCTGATAGCAGAGTTTAGTAAGGAATTCGCACATTAAGATGGTAGGGAATAAACAAGTGAATTAGAAAAAAAATGTTGATTGGATATTTAGTTATTTACCCTATATTTGTTTATAGAATCTGTGTGTGAGGCAAAAAAATGGATTCATTTTCTGTTCAATTTGTTGTTCATGACTAAGAAGAAATCACATTCCCAGCACTTATGGAACAACTATTGCGTAACTAAATAATACTCTCCTTTATAACATCCCCATAATTGTACAATTGCTATAAATTTTATTAAAAATTTAAAGCCATGCCACGTATCAGTTAACGTAATGTGTGGTTGCTGTTTTCTTCTAAGTAATCTGTATATATATAATTGCTACCTAAACAATAAATTTTATCTAATAAATAAAATTTAATAAATTTAATCTATGTGGCAAATCATTAATAAAACATAATAAATAGAACCTAATAAATTTTATTTATGTGGCATTAATACACCCAATCTCATTAATAAAAAAATATTTCATTACATTTTTTTGGGTTAATTAAGACAAAAACTATTATATTTTATGTTAATTGATTAATAATTATATTTTTTATTAAATAATATAATAGTTAATATTAAAATTAGTAATTATATTTTATACTAAATAATATATGAAAGTTACATAAAATTATATTTTACACTAAAATCAATATTCTTTATATAATGAAGTGGTTGTTTATTAATAAATTAATTTTTTTTTATGTCATAGTAAAATTTCTTAAAATCACATAAGCAATTGTTATAATAAATGTAATATATTTCAGCTAATTAATTGGTCATGATCACTCTAAATTATAAAAAGTATATATTTATTACATTTTATGCAATCAATATAGTGATTCGTATACAATCAAATCGTGTGTACTATTTATTTTAACCAATGATCAAA